TGGGGGCAGAGGGACTACAGGATGCCGTAGATAGATAGATAGATAGATAGATAGATAGATAGATAGATAGATAGATAGATAGATAGATAGATAGATAGATATAAATTGTGCATAGTATTACACTGCAACTCATTTATTATATCCAAAAAGAGAAGGTATATGAAGTCTTTCCCCTTTAAGAGGTAAAAAATTGATTATTATTGATTTGTGTACTGTAATTCTAAACATTACTGCTCAAATATAAGCGCCACTGAATTCAGTAGGGTTTATTCCCAAAAATGTGGGATTATGATTACAACCAAAATTACAAAAGGAAGGAAAATATATCTATGTTGTGAAAGAGAGATTTTCAATCCTGATTTTAATTTTTAAAAGTAATATATTTAATTTAATTGTATTTGAGTTTGAATACATTCATTTTGTAGCATAATCAAATTTTCACAAATTTTCATATCCTCAAAGCATGTTTTGCAAATCCTTTTTATCTGAAACTACCATAGTCATCTTACCAGTCAACCAGCACTGAGATATAAAGATTCAAAATTGTCAAAACCTGCTTCTTATTTAGCAAACCTACAGCCCCTGGGCTATGCACAAAGCTGGACATGTCAGACTAATCCATTTTTACTATGTACATTTCTGCATTAACCTGCTCAATATGCTTCAGGGATCAATGAGATTTAAATGAGGATGTGCACCACCAAGATCAAATGCAGAAAAGGAAGCAGGCATGCACTTGTTGATGGCTCCTAGAAGAAGCTGCATCTTTTCTTGAGCTTGCACGCTAGTCACATGTTATCCATGGTACAATTTGTACAAAATTTAAGCTTATGCGTAATGGCATATTTAATAGATTCTTAGTGCTCCTAAATATGCTCTGCACTTACTTTTACATGTACTGTATATAAAATAGACAAATACTTTTGCTAAATATTGTTTTTCATTGTCATACTACAGTACATTTCAGAAACAACAGTTACTGACCAACTACGTTGGTTGTGTCTTTGTTTAAATAACACAAATCAAACTTGAGAAATTAGCTGCTAAAATGCTGAACTCACCTCCAGAAAGGATGGATGGATGGATGGATGGATGGATGGATGGATGGATGGATGGATGGATGGTTGGATGGATGGATGGATACACACACACACACACACACACCACTGAAAATAAGATGGAAATTTTTAACACTCAAGCTATTAACAGTTATTTTTGATTATGTTCGTGTTTTGCATTTTTCTAAACAAAACAAATATAAAACAAACAGTCTTCTTGTTTGAGCTCTGGAGATGATCTAATTTTGGATTTAATTAGTTTTCATTAATGAGATTAAATGATGCTTTTTGTCTCCAGAAGCTAATACAAACAAAATCTATTTATCACCTTGACAGTAGTTCCTGCAACAAAGTTAATGACCACTACTGTTCTACTACCAAGCCAATCAGAAATCATGCTTTTTGTGCAGAAAAGCCAAATCCTGCAATCAATCATTGTCGACATAATAATCCTGTTGAATAGGCCTCTGAAAGACTGAAAGTAAAGCAACCTGGCCATTAACTTTAAATGCATCTCAGAAATGGGTTTCTTTGTGTGTAGAACAAACCTATCATGGTTACAGTCTAGGAAGGTGGCATTTTTTGCAGCATGAAATATCTGAAAACTCTTGTCAAGGAAGAAGTTTGTACTTAAGTGCTTTATTGTGTGCATGGGACAGGGATAGGTGGACAGATAGATTAGATAGTAACAAATATATTATTTATATCCCCAAAGTGTAATGGCACTTATTTCTTACATCAGATTTTGTACAGACCAACTCACCTAATAGAATTTCTCCCTTGACTCAGCTGTGCATTTCATAGCTTCTGTTTTCAATTCAGAGACATACTCAAATCAAATCTTCAGTGACAACTCACTCTGTGCCAGGAAGCTTACAAAAGCACTCAATATTAGCAAAGCATTTGGGGAAGTAGCATTGTTCAGCACCAGGCATCTGAGTCTTTTGTCATTCTCCTACTTTGCCAATCTGGTGACTTTCATTCTTCATAGTGACCTTGTTTGCAGAATGAGTAAAACCCTGCTGGAAAATGTTTTTCTTTTTTGTTACAGTGACATACCGGTAATATCTCACAAATTCTAATTCAGGACATCTCGGGGATAACTATAAAAAGGAGAGTAATATTCCAACATTTTCATGATGCCAGATTAAGTCTGCGTAGTTTACATCATTTCTTGAGAGTTCTAAAAAAATCCAAATTGCTGACCTGACCAGTTAAGGCAGATGTGGCATCTTTCCCCCTTTGGCTTTTAAAAATGAAGTTAGCCATTATTCTGGTTAAAAGTTCTCTGCTGAAGTCTCTGTTGCTTTACATCTGAACTAAAGTTAGTTCATATGCTGGAATTTGAAAGCAGATTAATTTAAAGCAGTGTTTCTCAACCTTGGCAACTTTAAGATGAGTGGACTTCAATTCCCAGAATTCCCCAACCCCACCCTCTTGCTGGTGGAGGTTTTGGGGTTTGGGTTTCTTCATCTTTAAATTTGCAAGGTT